CCGTCACTAGCCAGATGTGAACTCCCCTGCACTGCAGTTTCCCACATTAAGATACAAGGATGTAATGATATTGCTAACTCCCAAACTTGGCTGTATGTGGCAATTTCCTAGTAAAATGAAAACTCCTCATTCCTGAAGATTCTGACTTAGTAGGTATGGGTGGGATCTAGAAATCCATATTTAAACAGCTATTCTAGGGAATTCTACTGAAGTCAGACTATGTCCTAATATAGCAACTATGGAGTTATATATAACCATTAATGTCTCTTTAAGCTCTCGCGTTTAATTCCCTTCTGGTTTTAAAGCCTAGAAGGGCTCTGTGTGGAACAAGAGTGCAGGATAGCCACAGGCACTGGCAGGAGGCAGAAGGGTGTCTGTCAGTTTCCTAAGGCCGCCATAACAAAGTAGCCCACACTAGAGGGCGTAAATAACGCCAGGTACATTGTCTCTCGGTTCTGAAAGTTCGAAGTCCAAAATCCAGGTGTTCACTGGTGCATCTGCTCTTGACTGCTCTAGGGGAGAATCTTCACTTTGCCTCCTCTAGCTTCTGTGGTTTGCCAGCAATCCCTGGCTTTCCTTGGCTTGTAGAGGCATCGCGGTTGTCCCATGGTGGTCTTCTCCTTGTGTGTCTTCACACACGGTCTCCCCTCTGTGCCTGTCAGTGTCCAAATTTCTCCTTTTTATGAAGATACCAGTCACACTGGATTAAGGCCCACTCTAATGCCTAATTTTAATTTGATTACCTTTATAAAGACTCTGTTTCCAAATAAGGTCACACTGTGCAGGGCGGAAAGTCAGGGCCTCAGCAGATCTTTGGGGGGACACAATTCAACCCATATCAGGGAGTTTTCAGGGAAGAATTAGGATTTGAAAGCCAGGTGGTGTCGGCCCCAGTGACAGAAAGAACATAGTTCTCTGAGTGATAGATGCAGTCTGTGCAAAAGGAATGATGATGTCTGTCCAGGGTAAAGAAGAGCAGTGGTAGGGACAACGGTGGTGACAGTGCTAACACCTGCAAAAATTTATCACGTGCCTTTCACTGTGCCAGCCGCATGGCCTGTGCATTCCATCCTCAAGGCACCGCTAGAGGTGGGTAACATTATTCTAAGTGAGTCATAGAGAGCAAGCAATGGTGGCACAGAGGAATAACGTAAGTCAACTCCTCAGGAAGCTTCAAGTAGAGGATTGGGTTTGTCTGATGCCAAGCTTTTGCTTTTTCCCAGGTTGACCTGTTGCCTTCCTCATGGCACAGGTGCGAGGTGAGCCAGCATGAGTAGATCGGGCTACTTGTTGAAGGGTTTCCATAAGGCAGTGGGGTTTTTGTTTGATGTTATAGAAAATAGGGAGCCATTTTTAGTGTCTGGAGAGGTGTGACATGATGGAGGGGGTATTTTGGGAAGATGAACGTGTCATTTCCATCGAGGGATGTGTTTTCTTTGGAAAAGAAAGACTTACAAATGAGAAGCTATTGACCATGAAGGGTTTCTTTTCATAGGATTTTGTCAAGTGATTTTCTCCTTTCCCCGCTGGTAGCTCTTAACCAAGAATTTCCTTTAGCACTTTAAATGCACTTTAAAGTATGCTCTGCTTATCTGTTTTTCCCCCAATATTCTTTGTAAGTTCCTCATATGAGTGATAAAGCATTGATCGTTTACAGCCAGAGCACAATTGCTGTTTCAAAGAAAACTCTCCTTGAATCATTAACTCTATAAATTCAATCATCAACTCTGTAAATTTCAGTTTAGGTTTTGTTGTTGTTGTTGTTGTTGTTTAATTCTTCATTTGTTTTAAGAAGCAACTATAGGAATTTCATTTCTGGTGGTTCAGAGTTTAATTTGTTATGTTACTGATCTTTTTCTCTCTGTTTTTGCTATCCATGCTTCTCCTACAGAAAAAAAAAAAAAGTATGTGAGGATAAAGGGGAAAATAATAACAATGAAACCTAAAATGTATAAAGCATTTTACTATACAAATTACTGATCTTTTTCTCTCTGTTTTTGCTATCCATGCTTCTCCTACAGAAAAAAAAAAAAAAGTATGTGAGGATAAAGGGGAAAATAATAACAATGAAACCTAAAATGTATAAAGCATTTTACTATACAAATTACTTTTCATGTACCTTACCTAATTTAATCAGAAAGTAGACATGTAACAATTGGTGAGCAGTAGAATCATTGTGGTTTTTCTATAATTTCTACATTTGGTCTGAAGAACATATGATAGTAAAATTAAGCCTCATTGCTTTTTGCAGGATGACTTAAGTGTAAATCCCTTCCCTCTGGTAAGAGAAATCTGGATCGATGCAGAACATACGGCTTCTCCAAATTTTAAGCCATCCAACTTCCTTTCCTACGTAAGATTGCCTGATATTCATGTACAAAATTACACATACACTAATATACCTATTGCCACTTGATGAATTCTTGATTGTGATTACCCTAGGATTTATGTACTTGCTTTTGAGTCCTATAATCCCCCAGACTTGCTTCTCTTTTGGACGTTCGTATAACAAGCTCATCCAAGCTGGGTCCTTGTAAGTCTTGCTGTGGTCACACAAGAACGTATTTGGATGGTGAAATTAAAGTGGATGCATGGCCTCTAGTTGGAGGCAAGGACAAGAGATGTAGAGACCCCTGTGTCCTTTAGTTTCCTTGCTTTGGTGGTATAGTACACAGCCTCCCAGGAGATGTGAGGTTCTACCAATCACTGCTCTGACACGGGAGCTCAGTCCAGAAACAGCTGTCCAGAGCTAATTTATTTCCTAATGCCATGGCACTGTTAATTTATAAATTACATTGGTAATTCGAGCTATTATTAATTTCAGATGGTGTAGGGCAAGTCTAATTAAAATATGACACCAATTGCCACACATATGTACCAAGGACTACCATTTAAAATTAATGGGAATATTAAGTGTGACACTAGTCTCCAAGATGCTTTGCACAGTAATTATAGCATTCTAGCTGGGAAAGATCTGACAAATGTAGGCTTGAGGTTTGTAAAAAATAAACAATGACAACATAGAAAGAATCACAACTTCTTCGTGTAAATCTTTCCTTCTTATTTCCTCCACTCTTCCTCAAATCAAGGTTAGTACTTCTCCCCCTAAAGATGCTTACAAACAATAACAAAAAAGCTACTGTTGTTAATTAGAAGTTACTTACCAGTTGGGACTATGAGGCTCTATAGGTTAATGTTGATTGTCCTCTCCATAGCCTGGACTTTTGGGCCCTGTTTTCTATGTGTTCCTGGTTCTTGTGAATTTTGGTTGCTTTTTGTAACAGATACAGGTTGTTCTTTTGCTCTCCTGTAGGTAGTAGATGCAAGAGAGTGCCTACCCATATATAGTGTGGGTTCCATGTGGCATGAAGAGGTGTGAGGAAGCGCTCAGGTTGGGCTTGATGGTGGAACAGACTTCTCATGACCAAGGAGTGGTGGCAGTGGTGGGCAGGTTGCGGCCCTTCTTGACAAGATAGTCATTTTCTAATTGCTGTCATTGTCATGTCTACTGTTATCTTGACAAAGATGGATACCTTAGGACAAATACAATGGTAACTTTACATACCATATCTATCATGCCTTGTATTATATTAGTTCCTTACTGTTGTCATTTTCATGCTTTGGATCAGCAGATCCATGTGGCATTATGGAGGGGTCTTATCACCTGGAAAGAAATGTTCCTTTCTTTCCTTTACTCGTGTGGGCCACTCATGATAAATAGTTTCACTCCACCTGAGTCTGTGCTTCCCAGCAGATTACAGGCTTACTTTCTAAAGCAACAGGTGTACTGTGTGTGAGAGTTTTGATTGCTTTTGTGTATATATATATATATATATATATATGTTTTCATTTGTTACCTCAAACAACCCTGTGAAGTTATAGAACTGTATGTACAACATGCCTGCAAAATGTCTCTTAGTTGCCAGGGACAGTCTCGGACTTATGCTTATTGTCCCAGAGAAACTATCAGTAGTCCCCGTTTTACTCTTAAAGTATCCCAGTTTACATGATAAAATATATCATTATGGCTAGCTATCTTTACTTAACAGAGAAGGCAGAATAATGCTGGGATGTAAACAGTTCCTTTTGTTCTCCCTTGCCTTTCCACAAGTAGGCTAAAGTTCAGGGTGACTAAGGGAGAAAACGGTGAAATCAGTCTTCTAGGCTTTAACCTTACGGTTTCCATAGGCCAATGCTCATGGCTAGTGCTCAGGTAGGAAGCCAGTAGGTAGAGGGTTGTTATTATTCACAATTTTTCAACAGAGAAACTGCGTTTCAGGGCAGCAACATGACAGGTTAAGGTTTGCTACCATGTCTTCTTGCTCTTCACTTTCTTCCATACTTGTGGTTAAAGTGTGGTGTCCTTGTTGGTTTATCTTCAGGATCTCTACACAAGAGCTCTAGCAGATCAAAGTTTAGAAAACTGATCTTTGCTTATCTTATTGATTGTCTAAATCTAAAAGCAGGAGTTTAAATTTATTTTGTCAGTGTCTCCACTACCTTTTGTGGCTCGTGTGTGTGTGTGTGTGTGTGTGTGTGTGTAACTGCTAGTGTGGTATAATTGACCCATGGTATGGGATGCAGTGATCAGCTCTAGACTTTAAGGTTCAGCCTCAATGATACCTTGAAATCAGAAAGAGTTAATATTCACCTATGGTGCCTAACTTAGACCCCAGAGCCCCACTGCATGGTAAGATTCGGGCAGTGTAAATGTCAAAATTATTAATCACTTATGGAGGACCAGTAATTCTCCAGACTCTGTGTTCAGTCTAGGTAGGAGCACAGACATTTCAGCCAGTCCACTGGGGAACTAAAGGAAAGTTGATGATGGAAACAGTAGAAGGGCGGGGAGTGGGGGAAGGAGAATGGGCATCGTTCCCAAGAATGGAAACTTGGAAATGGCACAATTCTCTGCAGACATAACCATTTTATACTTTGTTTTCTAAGTTTATACCTTTGGTGTTTTGTTTTGTTTTTTCTCACCACACCTTCTCCTGCAGCCGTGGGCTTTGTGAGTGAAGACGAATACCTGGAAATCCAGGGCATCACGCGGGAGCAGTCGGGGGACTATGAGTGCAGTGCCTCCAATGATGTGGCTGCACCAGTGGTCCGAAGAGTAAAGGTCACCGTGAACTGTAAGTGGTCTCAGGAACCCCGACCCTTCACGTGCGTGAGGCTGGCTGCTGTCATGGCCACAGCAAAGAGCTGGATCACAGAGCCAGCTGCTGACTCAGCATGGGAAATAGTGCCATATCGTTGTCCATTCCCTGCTTTCAAGAGAAACAATTCCAAATTCTAGTTTAAAAAAAAATTGCAGCTGAAAGTAATTTAATATAATCCCAAACTTGACTTATATTCCCGGAAGATCGTTAAATGGCCTTCAATGCATAATTTATAGAAATGCATCTTTGAATCCCAATTTTTCCCATACTTTGCTCATAATGTTTCCAAACTCCTCCCTCTCTAGCCCAGTCATGTCCATAGTGGGGAGCAAAATACCTTGTGTGTAAAGGAAATTAATGATATATTTATGGAAATTTATGGTACATATTTATGGTATACTTATGTGATCTCATACTTTTGTGATTACATGTTGATACACAAAGTGCACATTCATAGTTTAAATATAAATAAACATATACATATTAGAGGATCCATCTCAAAATCTGATTTTGACTAACAGAGGTACAGAATCCAAAAAGTTTGGAGGCCAATCCTCTAGACCCATCATTCTCTCTTATCAACCACCCAAATTCTCTCTGACATTGACCCTCCTCCACTTCCCCACGTGTCTCTCACGCTCTCTCCTCTTGATTCTTCATAGTATACATTGACTCAGTTCTGTATGACATTTTGAAAGTTTTTTTCTGCTGTGCTCATTTCAGGAAGTCTTACGACAGGATAGAACCCAAGAACTACACCAGCAGACAAGAAACCTTTCCCTTTCAAAACTTGGGGGTGGAGGTGTGGAAAGAATATTGTGCCTTGGTGATTACTCATTAATATTTTTCTTTCTGTTACAATTAGAACCTCCTTAATACATAGCAGCACTTTAAGAAGCAAGGAAATAAGTATAACAATGCTATGGTTTTTAATACCAAAATGTGTACCACCAATATTTTTAAAAGAATTTGAAATGACTTGCAGTTAATAAAAATTAACCTGAAAAGTAAGGGGATGTGCACAAAGAAAAAAACCTATTTAGGACAATAAGTGAAAGCTAGGGATAAATGAACACAGGAAATATATACCTCAAGGAGGGGAGATGCAGGTGCAGAATTTGGCTTTGAGTTGTGAAATCAAAGCGGGAGGCAACATCTGCTTTAAGGTTTATGTCCATAAGATGAAAGCAAACCCATTGCTTGGGAGAAACACTGCTTTTCCTGGTACTGAGACCCAAGAGAAATTTCTCTTTAGTGTCTCCACAAATAGATCACTTTGAGATACAGTCAACAACATCACGCACGGTATTTCTGCAATAAATAGAATGCCAAGTTTATTATGGCTGTTTTTCATAATGCATTTCAATGCAAACTGTTGGAATTGCCAAGGGTAGTTAAAGACTTGAAATGAACGCAGGCCAAGTTTATAGGTCTAGTTTGGTCCGGCTGGATTCGGGGATCCATTTTAGGATGCCTGGAAGAATGACTGATCTGTCTAGGCTTCAGGCAATTCTCCATGAATATTATTTCTTGCAACTGAGCTTTTGATGGGAATTGAATGGTTCGAGGTTATAGACTCTGGCAAGAACCCGGTGTGCAGAAATTCTGTAAGACTGATTAAAGGAGTGTAAGGTTGATGGGCTGGCATTCCCCTATGAAAGTTAAAAAGTTTAAACTGGAAATATGCCCGAATACTTGGTCATTCCACCTCTGCACAGAGGGAAACAGCAACCATACATGCTAGGAAGACAAGCTTTTCCTTAGCACCTGTTGAATGGTTTCACTCTCTGGCTCAACTCGTGTATCAATTTGTCAGCTCGAGCAAGCAGAGGTAGAGCAGGGAGTAAACACCAAAACCAGTAGATGAGGCAGCCCGCCTCATTTCAGGATACATTTTAAAATGCTACAGCACAGCTTCTCTCTGCAGACCCGCCGTACATTTCAGAAGCTAAGGGGACAGGCGTCCCCGTGGGACAGAAGGGAACACTGCAGTGTGAGGCCTCAGCTGTTCCCTCCGCAGAATTCCAGTGGTACAAGGATGACAAAAGGTAAAGACACCCTCCCTACCTCCCTGCCCCCAAGGAGAAGAAAGTTTTTCCAGCTTCCTGTTTCCAGATGGTTATGCATGAATCTCTGAACAATCTTCTTCTAGTTCCAACTAGCTATCAAGGTGGGGGGGGGGGTTCTGATTATTCATGATTTCCAGCTCTGTTTTTAACATTTCCATGTAGAGTTAGCCCTCGCCAATCAACGGGCCTGAAAGAAAACATTGTTTTAGGAAAGCAAAATCTCAAAGAAGGGCCACCAGAAGCATCACAAGTCCTGTGAATTTTTTTTTTTTATGGGGCAAGAAAATAATGGGTTCTGCCTGAAGCTATTTTTAACACACTCTCAGGCTTGCATTAAGAAGCTGGGAATGTTCACAGGGCGCTGGGAGTGGCCAACAAGTTAGCAGGTCTCCAGTTCAGTTCCGGACACCATCGGTGGTGGTGGATAAAAGAGTCCGTGACCCGATTTAGGCTTCCCTTTGTGCCCGGGCTGTTCTTTCAAAGTAAAAGAAAAGAAAGGGGACTATTTCTTTCCCTCTCATTGTTGCAGCCATCATCAGGATCTCTGTTGTGATTCAGGGAAGATTGTCATTTGCGAGGAGTTACCAAATGGCGAGTTAGCACAGGGTTCAGCAGCTCAGAACAGCCAGGCAACCTGACAATTACTGTGATCAAAGAGCTATTTTAAAGTGGATGAACAATGAATAAATGTGCAAGAGCTGTCCATGTTCAAAACGCTTTGATAAAAATGGGGAGGGGATGATGCAACACTGTCTGAGGTGCATATGGGGTGGAGGAGGAAGGAGCTCCAGGGCCCTAGAAGCTGGGAAGAAAAACAGCCCAGGGGGTATTGCGAGAAGGGGGACACGGAACAGGTCCAGGCCATCAGTGACCCAGCTGTTGCCCGCACTACTTAGAACATCTCCAGTGCTCCGTGGGTGCCTTTCTTTATGAGGTTGGTGAGGCACCAAAAGCTCTCCCAGTCTTGGAATCACGTGACTCCGTCGTAAGCTTCATCGTGTCCTATCATGATCTTTCCAAGTGAGAAGCAGTGCTTTTCCATCTTGAAGTACAAAGCCTGGCAGCAACTTGGCAAGGTGTGTCCTATTCACCTGGCCCATTTTAGAGATGAAAGACTTGAGGCAAAAGGAAGAAAAGCAAACACATGAAGAGGTGAGAAGAAAGAGCTGGCTTTCCCCTCTTCTTCTCAGAACTCAGAATCAAGCTGAAGGGAGTAACATTTTCCCAATAAATAAGCATTTTCTTGCAAGTCCTGCTTCCCTGGTCCCTCTGCCTTCCCACTAAAGGACCTTCTATGTGAAAGTCTGGTATCCAAAAAAACAATAACAAAAAACATGTATCCGGGTCTTCCCCTAATCAGATGCATCCTATTTTTTTTAAATTCTTTATGGGAGAAAAATATAAGCACAAATGTAGGGGAAAGTGAGATCTTAAAATACATGGAGGAAAGTAGAGCCGTCCATAGACAGAAATGGCCAGTGGTGAGAAAAAATGAAAAGACAGCCCCGCTTTGCACCCTCTGTGTCGTAGGAGGGGCTGCTGTGTACGCATTAATTTCCCAGGAGAAGAAAGCTCAGTTGAATCCCCAGGGTGGTTTCAGAATCCCCTGGCTCAGGCAGCCTTGATTCCTCCACTGTCCAAGCTCTTCTCATGGGGGCTCCTTTCTCCCCTTTAATTGATTCTGGTCAGTTTTCCATATGTTCCTCATTTATTGATTTCCAGTGTTCTCCCACTGGAGTGGAGTTGTCTGTCCTCCTGACACCCAGCTCGGCAAGAACAGCTCTGTCTCTGAGGTCCTTGTCGCTGCCATTCCTTCCTGTGCCCCTGAGGCTGGCAGGCAACCTCCTCCAGGCGGCTCCCCATGGAAGAAAGAGCAGCTCTACCCTAGCTCCATTCCCAGTGACATAAGCGGACTTCCGAGGCAAATCAAAGGAGTCTATATGATGGGGACAGGCAGTTTTCTCAAAATTTACAGTAGAAGCCTCTTTTATGTATGTCCTAGCACTTCTCAACTGCACACCACTGTGTGTGTCATCAAAGGGAGAGGAACTGGGGTGCTGTACTTACTAAGAGACACCCATCCACGGGGGTATGAGCCAACGAAAGGCCTCAGGTTCATTAAAAACCTGAAGCCTGGGAGCAGTATGGGATGGGGAAATGTGTGACCACACAGAGAAGAGGCAAGTGTGTCGTCCCAGGAGCTGCAAAGTGCTGCAAAGCGCTGCTCGCCACCCCACCCTGTTTTTAGCTAAAGACGTTTCAGAGCTGTCAAGCAGGAACCTGCTTCCGGTAAGTGTCTCTCCCCACTGCAGAGCTGAAATCTAATTCACAGCTTGGTTCTCATGTGAAGGCTTCCTCCCCAGCCCAGGAATGGCGTCAAAATAGCAAATGGGATCAACGCACTTGACTAGCTCTTGAAAACCTCCTGGTGGGTGGGCTTGTAGAGCCTTCTTTGGACAGCACCCCCTAGAGGATCAATATCTACATAACAAGCTGGAAATAGAACAGCAGCGTCTGGAAGCACAGCTGGATGCCTCATTCTGTTCCTACAATGCTCACATTTTAATGAAGTCCATGGACTCAGGCCAGTTCACTGCCCCTAGCTTATGAGAGAGAAAGGCTCCCAGAGGAAAATCTACATAATGAAAAACAAGCAAGTTTCTCCACCCAACCTTCTGACTTCCTAGGAGACAGATGTTAAGCGAGAACTGAAGCCAGAGCCTGACTTTCTCTTCTGATCAGGGTTGGGATGGCAGAAAGAAACATTCTGTAGTCCTACAGGGACAACGTCTTCTGATGATGACAAAGCAGCTGTCCTCTGTGCCAGAAACATGTTGGGACCCAGGAACAAGCGAGAGGTCTTGATGTCTGACTCCACAGAAATTAAGTATATTGAATAACATTTTATAGTTTATGGAGCATTTTCTCATCATTGTCTTGCTGGGCTTCACTTCCTATTCTGCCTTGAATATTGTCTTTCTCAGTTTGATGACTCTGAAACCAGCCATTGACCCTAATTCCTGTCCCCTGTGCCTTGACATTGTTTATTTCCTACACATCCTGCCCCAGCCAAGCCCTAAACCATGTTCCCTGAGATCCTCCATTCAGAAGGATTTTTCCCCTAACATTTATCTTTCCCATAGCATAGCCTCAGCTTCTGGGCAAGGAAGACAAATGATTTCAGGGAAAGTAAAAGGTTGGCTTAAAGCCCATTCTCTGAAATAGGACATTCCAGAGTTTTTAAAAGGAAGAGGGTTGGTCTCATAATTTCTATGTAGACATGCAATGGTAGTAAGAATTTTTGCTGACAGCATCCTGAAATAGAGGATATGACCCCACCAATCCCTAAGCAGTGTTCTCCCTACCCTCTCCATCTGCCCAGCAGTGGTATCTATGGCTTTAGCAGGTATATCTGTTTTCCCCACTCACCTTCTGTGGCCTTTCTTTAGTGGCCCCTACCACCAGTGCGAGCCCTGTGGCCTATTGGACCGCCATAATGGATTGCTCAGGGAGACCATCCAGGCTCTTTAAGGTCAGATTCTTAGGAATCTATAATCCTTTCTAGACCGAGTTATTATAATACTCTGGGCAGACCACCTCTCCCAAGCCCTTCAGAGTATGCTGCTGTAAAAGTGATCCCCGATTCTTGTATTCTATTCACCACCAAAAATAAGGTATTATCTGCAAGTTCATAAAAGAACATTTATCACCCAGGTGTTGAAAACACTTTGTCCTTTCAAACCCCTCAAGTTCTTCTCTTTGAAGATTAAGGTTTTTTAAAAATTATTTATAGTTGCCATCGTCATCATTTTCATTAGCTTTATCATCAACATCAATTAAGTCCACACATGGAGCCCCTGCTGTCTGAATATCACACAGCTGGAACTTTCGATGAGTTGAAGGCACCTGCCTTCAGAGAACTTGGTGAATAACTGTGTATTGCCAAGAGTGTCTCCAGGCACATGCATAAAAATAGAAAAATACAATTATTGGTCATTGTGTGTGAACTTGCATGAGTTGAGTGGGGGAAAAAAGTAGTCATCATGATGTCAGAAAGGGGGCAATAAGAAGATCATTAATTCCAGAGTCTGTCTTCCCCCTACAAGAAAAATATAACCATCTCCTTTTTTCTCCTTTTTTGTCTCTCTCTTGTTGGTCTCAGACTGGTTGAAGGAAAGAAGGGGGTCAAAGTGGAAAACAGACCTTTTCTCTCAAAACTCATCTTCTTCAATGTCTCGGAGCACGACTATGGGAACTACACCTGTGTGGCCTCCAATAAGTTGGGCCACACCAATGCCAGTATCATGCTATTTGGTAAGACTGAGCCCTGAGCTGGGCAGTGAAAGCAGGAAAGGGTCCTATGGGACAAAAGGAGTCGGAAGGAACGGCCAGGGTGAGGTGGCAAGTGTAAGAGAATCAGGAGAACCTGGGCAGGGGTGAGTGAAAAGAGAGAGGAGGGGGAGTGAGAGAGAGAGAGAGAGAAAGCTAGTGCATGGATGGGTACCAGTAGCAGGGAAAAAAAATGAGAAAGAATGTTCATGCTTCATTTTGTAGTGGGCAAAACCCTGAGGCAGAAGGTCAGGATGTAGGGATGATGAAGTGACATTTAATTTTTTCTCTTCAAGAGCTCCTCAACTGACGAGGGATGGGGGGCTCTAATTGGGTATAATAGCAAAGCACTCGGAGAGGAACATTTACTATTTCAATACTTTGTTCACTAGAGTCCTGTAAAATGTTACCATTTCTGAACCTTTTCCTGGCTGTTGGGATGTAGGAGAAACTGGATTCTATTTGTGAAAGCAGAATCATAGGCCTTGGGATCCTGAATATTAGCTTCAGAGGGAGAATTCTCAAAGGACATGGGGATTTCCCCAGCTCTTCATTTGTATCAAAGGGTGTTGTCTGACTGGATTAAGATATATTTGTCCAACCAAGCCACCATCCTGACAGAAGTCACATAGTCATTCATGCATTAATTCATTAAACAACAGTTTATTGAGGGACTGATGTGGGCACAGCAAATTGCTCTGCCTTCCTAACCTATCTGGCAACTATATTGGTGCCAGAAGCAAGTAAAGAAGGCAAACAAACAAGCTCCCTTGTAAACCCTGGATGTCTCAAACAATGCCACAGATGTGAGCTGGATAGTAGGTCTGTGTCACCCGCCAGGACTCCAGGTATCCAGGGATGACTTGCATCCCTTGGTAGACGCAGATTCACCCTGCAGACCACAGAGTGAATTTCTGGTTGTTTTTGAGGGGAAAATTCCTCCATACCCTCACAAGCTCAGGTAGCTTGGAATTTTTCAAATCCATCCCCCTAGTCTCCCATGGTAGCAAGGACCCTTGAATATTATGGCCAAGGGAAAGCGAGGAAGTTAACAGATAATTAGCAAGAACATAAATTCCTTTTACTCTGAGAACTCCCGGAAAAATCCCATTAGCTTCAACTACCTCACCCTCGCCCGCAGCCCCTACCGCATCCCTCCACAGCACATTGTATCCGACCTGCCCTGAATAACCCGCCTGTGCGGCTCCATTGTCCCATCTCGGCTTCCAAATCACATTCGGCCCCCCTTCTATCCAGCACATAAAACAAAGCCCAGCTTTATCCAAGGGGGCTGGGACGGGGAAGGCTGCCCTTGATCCCAGAGCTGGTAGCTCAGAATGGGCAGAGCTGTGATTAGAGTGATTGATCTGTCTGACATCTCTCACACAGGGATAGTCATAATTGCCCCTCACATTTGTCAGGCCTTTTTGGCTTTCTGGCAGGTGTCTCTCTGCAGAAACAGAAGGGCCAGGATTATAAAGGAATAGACCTCCCCCCTTCCCTGGCCTTGCAAATCTGAGGCTCTCCTAGCGATACCGTCAATCCCTCCCCAGGCCTGCCGCCCGCCCACAGTAGCCCTCATTCCTATAAACAGTCTTCCTCCTCCTCTGGCCTCCTCGTTCTTCTGATTTGGATACATGACATGGTTTTGCAATTGGCTTTATCACTACTGTGTAATTCCCTGGCCTCTTCCCCTTAAGCCATCTGAAGATGAGAACAGGGAGAAGGCACAAACTTTGAGAGTGAAATAGCTGGTGTTTGTGAGAAGGAATGCAGTAAAGCATGTGCCATAAATCTGCTCTTCTCAGCAGACCCCTGCGTGGCAATTAGAACCTCTGCCTCCCCACCGTTGGTCTGTCTGTATTCACCCTGTGTGTCATTGGGACGTTCCTCCACTTGCCAGCTCTCTGGAGTCCAGGATTCTCTAAACATGGAAAAGTGATAGTATGAATTCAGATAAGTTTAGAAAGACTGGATCAACCAAGATGAATGGAGTACACGTGGGAATGTTCTTTAATGTGGTGATCTCCAAGCTTTTCTTCACATGTGAAGCCTCTAAAAGGGAGAAAAAGCATGGAGCATTTTTCAAAATTAATCCAACAGAAAGCAATTTTCAAGCCTCAAATGAGAGATCATTTGTGAGGAGCCCATCACCAAAATGCCCCATGGCTGACATAGTTCCATGGAACTAGTCAAATGTCATTAGTGTGCAAGGTGGGTGTTTCCACCCCATTGGCACTCACTGAGGTTTAGTCCAGACATGGCAGTCCCAAAATTCATGATGGAGGCCCACCATCAATCACAAATACAAACTTATACTGGAGTTTCCCATGTCATCTCCCATTATCAGCAGACCCTCAGCCCAGACCCAGCAAGCAGACTGCGGTGATGGGAAAGCAGCATTTGTGTTATGCGAATCTGTGAACTTTGTGATACAGTCCATTCTCCTATAGCATCACAGAAAGCCAGCTACGTTATCACCATTTTGCTACCACCTTTCACACAAGCTGCGTGCCTTCATCATGTGACCTGAACGTTGGAAAGTGAGGAGTGCTGTGCATGGAGGCTCCATCATGGCCAGTATCCAAATATAGCAGGGTCATCCTTCCTATCGTGAACCAGTAGTGTCCTGAGCATCTGCTCCTTAAGACTGCAGGGATTGCAGCGTCCCCAGAACGCCAAATCATGGTGGTTCTTGGCGCCATCTTGTTCCCGCTGTGGTGCTATGGGACCAGAAATTCCTGAACTTGGTCTCCCAAAGTGAGACAATGGGGGTAAGATGTGGAACAGAAACCTCATCTGGACAGGGACTTTGGTCCTTTGTTACCACGTCAGCCCCCTAGCTCAGCACAGCTTTGGGAAATGTACGAGTGGCCAGTTCCCTCACTTTCCAACCATCACATCCGGGGATGGAAGCATAAGGCACATTAGTGTTTCTCATGCTGCATCTTGTCCTACCACCTTTGGTTTTTGTGTCTTCCTTTATTTATCCATTCCCCCAGAAATGTTTGTGAAAGGCAGTATACAAACTATATATGACAAATATATAGCGGCTGTATATAATGTATGTGTTTGTTTTCATTTTTCTCTCCTGTATGTCCCTCACCTGATTTAGAACTAAATGAGCCTACAAGCTCAACTTTGTTGCAAGGTCAGTATCCCCCTTGCTTTATGGTTTTTCTCCCCTTTCCTTTCTCCCAGAGTCCCCCTCTCCCCTCCCCCACCTCTCATTACCTATCTGTGAAGTTGCTTAGAAGATGCTTGCAAAAGCTGAGCTGCATCACTGCAGCTGATGGAGCTCCAGGGGTAGCTCTCCTCTCTCTGCTCACACCTTGCCCACACTTCCCCAGAAGGGCCAGGTGGGGGAAAAGAAAAGAAACACCATTAACTTCTCAAAGCCTAGAGATCTGTGTAAAGGTCAAAAGTAGAGAGCATGAGTCTGAACCAATAGGAAGACAGTCCAACCCACTGAGCAGTTTTCATAGCAAGAATCCTATCAGTGAGCCCTGAGCAACAGAAGAAAACACTGTGTGCATGAAGATTATTCCCTAAAATGCATCAGCTGGTTCAAAATGCATCAGCACCCCTCCCTGTACGTCCTATTCCATTTAGAGGTTCTCTAAGAAAGGCAGGTAAGGAGGGTGCAGCACGCATGAGAGTCAGAGCAATGACCTGGAATGGGATGCCGCTGAGATCAAGTTCAGAGCATGAGTTGGTAGTTCTGTGTTCTAGAGCAAGTCGTTAAACGTTGTTGAGACTCCATTTCCTCTTCTATAAAACAGAATTGATCTGCCTTATCTACCTTAGAGTTGTTCCAACATTCAGCTGAAACTGCATAGTAAAAAGGCTTTGGAAACTGCCAGGTGCATTTTGAATCATTCCAGTCCAATCCCCAGATGCAGACTGAAAGACAGGAATTTCCCTCAGTGCCATGTCAAAGCTCTTCTCCCCAGCCCCTTTAAGTCCTATTCCACTTCAAGCCCTTCCCCATATACAGCTCCTGCCTCACCGGCCCATCTTTGCACTGCCTTTCCAACTTTCTCAAGGCCCACTAGCCTACCATAAGTGACTCACAACGGTCCACGAACCTAGCGGAAGTGGTTCGCTAAGACTGTGCCTGAACATTTGGGCGGCAGTGAGCCTTGCCGAGTGGTGGAGTTGAATCCCTGCTGAGTATGCTGCGGTTCTTCTCCGAAGGACAGGGCTGACATAGGGTGGCCCAGCTGGAAGGCAGCCGCGAGGCTTTGCCCACCTTCCACCCCAGTGCCTGACCTTTCTGATCTCACCCGCCCCCACACCCATCGCCCGCATCCCTGCCCATCTGGCCGCGTGAACACTCAAGGGAGGCTGGCAGTAGACTTGCAAGGTGGGGAAGGAGGAGGAAAGAGAGAAATTGCATGGGAAGCTGTTTGACAGATGAGGAAAAATACTTTTATCATGAAAAGATTCAGGGCTACATTCTTCACCTTAGTGATGTAGGGTGCCATAGTGATGCCCCACAAACAGGAAAATGAAACAAAGAAATAGAATGTAAAAGTGAATTCAGTGGAAGCATTCAGGTCCAAATTTATGATTCAACTTATGTTTATTGAACCCCGGTGCAGGGATCGCCACAGATCTAAAATCAAGAGCATTAGGAAAGTAGCGAACCATAAATGGCAAAAAGGAGGCATGAGGGACTGGAGCGAAGACAGATGGTGCTACAGGCTGTGCTTTCCGAAGTGACCGAGCTCATTCTGATCACTTAAGCTCTTTATTTCCAGAGGGAATAGGAACTTTTAATATAGGCAGTATCTGCTTAGGAGTTAGTCTTTCCCTGAAGGTGTACTCACCTGATAGAGGGGGCATGGTCCCACACCAGTACCAATAACAAAACAGAGCAGAAACAAGCACATCCCTTCTAGCGGCTGAGCAGGGGAGCAGGGACAGGACACTCTATGACCAGGCTCCACCTGCTGAGACAAAGCTGTCCTGCCTCACCCCTCTCTGCTGCAACCACGAATCTGGATAAAAGGATCTGTATGCCAGCTCTCTACTCAGATCCTTAGGCTGCTCTCAACCCCGCATCCTTCTTGTCGAGCACAGGGCAATGGGTCATTGCCAGAAGTTGTAGACTGTAGACATCTGCAATGTTCCAAGATTTGGATTCATGTGGTCTTCAGTATAGCTATTGGACTCTTTTGTACAATCGAAGAATATCTTAGAGAAAACAGACCTTGCACTTGGGGCATTTCTCCCATTCATCTGTGTTCTTTTCTCTCTCTCTCCCCCCCCTTTTTTTTTTACCTCCTCCTTTGCTAGTCTCCCACAGAATAGAGAGCCATCTATTTTCTCAGGGAATACCCCTAAGTTATGCTCATCTAATCTCAGAAATACCAAGCAAGATTTATACAAATGCATGGATTTCCACGGACAGGGTACACTTGGCTTTACGAGAAGTTCTAAGCTATTTTGTTACTCGATTCTGGATGGACTAGAGAGATTCTGATAAGAGAATTTCATCCCTCCTCCGCATTCTCTGCCACCCCTGAAGTATTTCTCTGTTCCCCTTTTGCAAGCACAACAGATTGCATGTCACCCTCTCGTATTGATATTTGGTGGTGCAGGACTCCTGCCATGATAAATAAGGACTCGGGGATGCGCCACCATCCCTCACCGAGCTCCCTTGCAGGCAAGTGTGCAGGGGCCCACACTGCCAACTCAGCGTCTTGGTAGCTGTTCATTTCCCATCCACTGTCCTTTGTTTTTTATCTCCTAGGCATGAAGTCAGATTTGATGGTATCAGTGGGCTGGGAAAGGTTGGCTGATTAATGCCTGCGAACCTCACAGTGACTGTCAAACCAACTTATTAAAGAATGGGGGAGCAAGTAAACTCTGTGTATCAGGAGGGAAAAACTGCAGCAGAAAAGATGATCAGTTCTTCCCTGCAGAGGATTAAAGGTAGTTATTGGGCCCAGCCATCCAGCAGTGAGCACTTCTATGACACTTGTGTCTAAATACTGAATGTATAAAAAGACATTCTCTCATCTTCTTTCTGGAGAGTGAATATATCCATCGGGGTGTGAAACCAGCTCTCCTCTGCCCACTAGAATCAGACAGAAGCCCTGTGCTTACCTCGGTACTTAGATTTAGCTGCAGGCGTTGGCTTTGGTGGCAAAAAGATCACGTTATGGATTGACCAGAGATACTAACTTAGAGGCTTGAGGGGAATGTTTCTTTTTTTCTTTTTTCTTTTTCTTTTTTTTTTTATCTTCTTCTTTTTTCTTTCATTCGTTCTTTATCTTGAATATTTTATCCAATTCTACCTGGCTCCTCATTGGTGTATCAACAAAAAGATCACAAATTTCAGTCAAGTTCTTGGCAAGGAAAATACATGCTTGGATTGTCAGAGATCGTTTGTTTTCTTGATAGCCAAGAATGAACTCAGTAACATGAGCTTATGGGTGGCTACAACTCACCTTGAAGGCTCAAACAAGGCCCACACTTCTGCAAACTAGTGCAACAGTGATACCATCTCGAGCATGATATAGAAAACGTGTTAGCATTTCTGCATCTTTCCTTGGTACCAAGTCAAAGGGAGTGGGATGGAGTGCAGCATCAGGGTAAATACAAAGAATATCTTGTATTTCGCAGGAGTCCTGCACCACCAAATATCTTGGCTACATCTCCCCCCCTCACTGTGGTGAGATGTAAGGCAGACAGAAGGACATTTCCGTTAAGTAGAAGTTATGAAACTTTGCTACCTGGCAAAGCTCAAGGATACATTCTAGCTAAGGGTCAATGTCAAACAGTCCTTTGCCATGGACACTGAAGAGTACTGACCTTCATTCACGTAGTGTGTGTTAGAGATTCAGGGAAAAGAGTAGCTGGATGGGGACAATTTAGAAGAAGTTGTTTACAGATCTTTGCCTTACAGAAAATCAAAACTGGTATCTAGATCACTGTGGAAACTTACGCTTTCAATTAATTTCTCTTTCTGATATTTCCAGCAAACCAAACTACTAAGTAGAACCCTCCCCTGTGTCCTTCCTCCAGCAGAGTCTAAACCAGCACCCCAGCAATCTGTTGCTGCCCTCCCCCACACGTACCCTACATCTGCATTGCTTGTGGTTTGGGGTTGAAGGCCTAGGACTACTTTATCACTCCATGAGTCCCTCTTCATTTTTCCTCCTGCCAATCACCATTCTTCTTGGTACAGAGACTCAAGTCAGTCGTACCTGAGGGAGACACTTCATGAAAATAGCCCCACCTTTGCTTCTGGGTGGGTCTCGAGGCCCCAGTAATCACTCCAAGGGACTGTCCTCGCTACATGGATAGACAACATGGTGCCAGCACTCCTGGTTTTTCTCTACCACCTCAACTTGACATCTTCTGTGAATCATGCCTTTGATCTTTGATCATACATCACCCCTTACATCTTTTTCAGAATGGCTTCCCGCATCGCTAATGTCCCCTTTAGTCAAGAGGGATATCATATCTCAGGTGCCCTGAAAGCATAGATAGAGAGCTTGAAGGCATACATATGTATTCATCTCAAGTTGGTCAGATGTTTTAGTTTAGTTTAGGTTGAATTATATCTAGGTTGCCTTTCCTTCTATCGCAAGGACCTTTGCACAGAGAATGGTATCACTTTGATGCAAAGAATTTCATGCATTTTTTTTTACTTTATTGAGGTACAATTGACAAATAAAAGTATGTTTAAAATGTATTCATGTTGATTTGATACACAAACACATTGTGTAAGGATTTTGCATCCTCTCTGCATCCAAGCTGAACAACTGCAGAGACTCCTAGTTAAAGTGGGAAGTAAAATATTCCAGATTGGACCACTTCCGGCCACTCGGGACATCTACTATTAGCAGGAGAGGCTCTGTGGATTGTTCTGAAGGCTTGAAGTTGATGAAATGTGGGTGTTTCATGGCCTAATCGTCAGAGAAGAGCTGGCATCCCAGTAAATTTCCACAGGCAGGTCTTACCTAGCAAGTGCAAGTGCAGCAGAATAGGTGTGGGTCTTACCGCCCGTGGTTGCCCCTCTGGACCAGCTAGCTATAGTCTGACTCATCCAGGGAGGTCAGGCATCACAGATCTGGGCCCTCTGGCACAGTGTTTGTAAAACATGTAGATAAATGCCAAAGTTTTACATCTCACATGTAGCATGGGCACCTATGTTCAGATTGCTGCAGTATAATCCATTTGTTATCAGCCAATTTTATACCTAAGGCCTATAGACTTCAACTAATTAGAGGATAGTCTGGTGGCGAAAGAAAGAAAGTTGTTATACAAAGACGTATTTATTGGCTTGGGGCCTCAGGCTCCAAGGTGTACCGAGTCTCCTGCCACGATCAGATGGATGCGTTGGCTCTCATTGGATCAATGATCCAATCTACCCATCATTCATATCCTGCCCCCCCCCACTCCACCTTATGGCAACTTCCCAGCAAAGTGGAGGGCTACACTAATGAGAGCTGGGCTGTGGTCAGGACAGCAAGAGCCAAGGGCAAAGCAAGTGCCTCTGACTGCTTTCTACCTTAACAGTGGCTTGTTTTTAATTTCTTTTAGAGGTGAAAACTACAACTTTGACCCCTTGGAAAGGTTGGTATATTTATTCCCAGGCATCTCTTCCTGGGTGGGGATGGGTATCCCAAACTCTTCACTTTCTTCCCAGATGCCTTCTCTTCTGAGCTAACCCCAGGAAGCAGCCCAGTGGGATCCTTCCCTGACCTTGGGCCATCTCTGTGCCAATCTTGATTAACCTGTCTCCAAGGACCTGCCATTCCCCCTGGGTAGCTTCCACCCATAGACGTCTAACTGCTGTTTGCTAGCGGCACTAATGAGCCACCTGCCAGGGCCCAGAGTAGCTCCACGTCTTGGCTGCTCCATACAGGCCGGCCTCTCCTCACATGCAGATGCTCTAATGCGACAGTCTTCTTAGACCTTGGCCTTGCATGCTGTCTTTGCTTACCCTGTTCTCTCTTTCTCTCTTCCTCTCTCTCTAACTTGGAGCTGGAAGGGAAGTGATGGGAGGGAGGGGAAAATGGAAGGAAGGGGGAGGTTCTTGGGTGAGTCACTTGGCTCCGAATAAAACACGTCTTATTTGAGGCTTTCATTCCCACTAGATGTTTCTGATGGATAAATTGACACTCATCACAGTTCTCTGGGACCCTAACTGTCCTGGTAATTAGTCTCTTTAGGCCTCCACAGCTCTCTAATGAGGTAAAGGGAATAAAGGCATCCAAGGCAGAGTGGAGGCGTGGCTGCATGATCAACAGCCCTCATCTATGTGGCCCGTGTCACCAGGATGGGCGGATGGGCTGAGCTGCTGCTCTGGCCAGAGCAGGCTCTGAGAGGGCCCTGCCCCAGGATGCTGGGATCCACACCTGCCTGGACAAAAGGCCTTCATCTCATGACATTCTTTCAAATGCTGGCGACTGGGGGTAGCCTGTGTAGGACCCACCTGTCCCAGTGCCCAAGTGGCACAGGCCCTGTGGCCTCACTTCCTCTCCTCTCCTCGTTCTTGGAAGATGTGTGAGTTACACACAGTGGCGGCCCCGAGTTTGTGGAAAGAAAATTGTATTTGGAGACAGAAGTCAAGGGAGCTTGGGGAAGTCAGTTAAGCCTTCTGAGGCTAAGTCTCCACATATGAGAGCTGAAGAGAATAATCCTCATCTCGTACCTGAGTGTCTTTGAGGGGGCTGGGACACCGTTCCAACTGCAAGAACTCTTCCCGAAATCCTAATCAATATGGTTTTACTTCTATGTATACTTTCCCTCAACTGTAATTACTTTCTGTGACTTTTATTGGAAATAGAAAAAGAGGGGAAGGGTGTTTGGAAGAGAAAACTGAGATAAAGAAGAAGGTAGGGAAAGAGTGTTTTGTTTTGTTTTGGTTCAGTTGGTCTTTGGCTTTTTTCTCTCAATAGAATCTTAAAAGAAAGGAAAACACAGAGACAAAGTAAACATGAACACATTAGTATGCATCAAAACATTCTGGTTCCTTCATTCTTTCAACAAACATTTGTTAAATACCTGCCATGGGCCCAGTTAGACACAGATCCTGCCCTTAAGGAGCTTATAACACAGAAGAGAAAATACATGTTAGATAAATAAAGAGAAATATAACACAGATGGTACGTATTTTAAAAGCTGGATGCATACGGTACTATGGAAGCAAAATAGCAGCCAAGTCAAGGAGGCCTGCCTGGAGGAGATAACTGGGGACCAGAACGGAATCTGGGAAGGAGTGGGAGTGATTTGGGTGAAGAGCATTTCAGGCAGAGGGGCAGAGGGTATGAGGATAGGGAGGAAAGGGAATATAGCTCACACACACACACAGTTGTGTGAGCATGCATGTACATGGCGCCCGTGTGCTTGGGAGGCAGGGAGAAACCAAAGAACGTGTGGCAGGAACAGTGACTGAGGAGGCAGATGGCAAGCAGATGATGAAATGTAGGGAAGGTTCTACCAAGGAGTTGGGAAGTTTTGTAAAGGCTGTAGGAATCACATAGGTTAGTATCATGATGAACGTGGACTCATAGCAACACGGCTATGGAATTAGCATAAAGAATAGCTTCAAGGGGTCAAGGCCGCAGGGGGCAAGGCCCAGTCCGTGAACTTGTTTGGCAATGGAAAGGAGAGCTGATGCAGCTGTCCTCTTTGAGAGGACAGCTGGAGTAGTATCCTTGTCTTGATGTTTCTCTGGGGTCAACCCCTGTTTCCTCCTCCTTGTGATCAGTTTTGCCCAGGTCAGGTTTCCTGGACGTGCCCAAGAGAAGGATGGGTTAGGGTGAGGGGAGAGAGTACGTGGCGGGGGTGGGCAAGGCAGGCTGGACATGGTCCCATGCGGTGAGTGACAGTCCCCTGTGGGCCTAGGACAGGAGAGCAGCAGAGAGGCTCTGTGAGCTTGGCCAGGGTAACACTGCAGGCAAGAGGAGGCTCCGGCACACTTGGTGGCCTTTGCCTTTCTTCTGTGGGAAGAGTTTTCTGACACAACAGGTCAGGACCCCTCTCTGCAGGCTCTCTGTGGTGCTTCCCAGCAGGCAGCAGAGCCACAAAGGAACTCTGAGGGGCTAAGCAATGAAGCCAAAGACAGGATGCCCAGAGCGTGCACCTGCAGAGGCTTCCAGCCATTGTGAGGTACCTTGGGGGTTGTTTGCCCACCCACAGCCGCCTCCCATGCGGCACGGCAGAGGCCCTGGCTGCAAACATGGCTAGACTTTTCTTACATGGTAATGAAGCCGGGTCCCTGCTGGGCTGTCTGCCTGGCTTGTGGCATTCTCCATTTTCCTCCCTGGCAACTCCCACGAGCTGGGCAGCCCCAAGAGTAGGGAATGCAGGTGGGAAGCCCAGAGCCACGAAATGCAGAGAACTGGCATTTATTCTCTTCTCCTTTACCACAGGGCATCCTCCGAGCCATGGCCAGGGCTGGAAGTGAGGGTGGGAATGTGCTGGAGGGAGTGGGGGAGTGGGCTGCAAGCTGTGTGTGCAGGCGTTCAAGAGAGCAAAAGACAAGCAAGAGAAAGAGAGCCAGGCATCAACAGATGCGTGTCTGGCCAAGAGCACTCTGTGCCAAGCAGCTAGAACACCCTTGGAATCCCCGTGCCTTGCGCATGGGAAGATGGAGTGCAGCCACCAGCCCTGTCCCACTTAAACATGGAACCCGGCTCCACAAAGACCTGCTGGCCCTCTGACCTCAGAAACAACCTTTGTGGCTTAGAGTCAGCCTCAGTTGCGGGCAAAGGTCTTCATGTCAAGGATCTTGGAGTGGCCCAGAGCAGCAGGGCTTCCTCCAGGGAGAGAACAGACCACCTCAGCCTAGAAGGCATGGTGAGTGGCTTCTCTCCTAGGGTTCCAAAGAATGCTCTAAGGATAACACCGAGATTGAATATGAAAAAAGGAGTCCTGTTGGTGGTTTACATAGAAACATACTAGTTAGATGTTACAAGACAGAGCCAATTAGTGATCAATGGTAAATGATAAGCATCTCTGAAGTTAAAATGTAAGGCTCTGGAGCGTAAAAAGGGGAGTGCTCCTTTGTCCCCTATATCCCAATGAAGACTGAGAGAAGGAGGGCATTCCATGGCAGATGCCTTTTTTTTGTGTGTTGCCCAGAGGTTTACTTCCCAGCTGGGTGGAGAGCAGAATACGTGTGTTTTGGGCTTCTTATCATGAGAACTTGCACTGGCTGGCCTTGGGATTACTGTGAACCAGACAGCACAGACACATGAGATTGGAAGACCCAGTCCATTTCAAACTCATGACCATCTCTTTAGCCACTGCCCTAGAATCAGAGATTTGTCCCAAAGGTCTAGGAATTAAAGTTAGATGGGCAACGCTCCCAGGCCAGGGGTTCTAGGACGTGATGCAATCATCCCGTATGGAATCAAGAAAGCCTGGTTTGATGCTGATCTGCCTTAGCCAGAAATGTCTCTGATGCTTAGCATCCAAGTCAGACAAGCATGTCCTGGCTTTGTTTCTTGACCCCAGTGTGGACATGGGCTTAGAGGGGATACCAGCTTTAAATACCTCTGTTAAATTCAGGGCAACAGAGCCTTCCAGAGCAAGTCCAGTCTGACAAGGTGCCCTGCTGCATTAGGTACCTAACCCGTCTGGGCCTCCAAATTTGTGTGTACTGTCCATGAATCATGGCTCCATTTGTTACAGGCATTCTTGGCCAGAACACTTATGTTTCAAACAATAAGGAAACTGCTGGGAAATTCCACGCACCTCATGGTTTCCTTGCCTCCTGCATTTGGTCCTGTCTCCCAAGAGTATCCGTCTGCCAGGTTGGGGCACGCCTCCCACCTGCAGATGTCCACGGCGGCAGGCTCTGCATCCTAGTGTCCGCATAAGCCTTCCCTCACTTGCAGGTACACAGTAAAAAGGCCACCTATTTCCTTACTTGATCCCACCTCGACGTCCAGCGGGCTGGTTCTGGCCTTTCAGGGATGGGATACTTGAGCTAGGCCTGCTGTGACCTCGTCCAGATGGGGAAGAGGCCAAGTGCTGCAGGTGGAAGCCCAGTGACCAGCCCGAGATAGAGTGATTGACAGAACGGATGCCGAGTCCGACACAGCAACAGCGGGGAGACAGATTGCTGTGTCCAGCAGGTCCTTCCCTGCACAACAGAGCGAGCTGCTGAAGGGTTATGTGCATGTTCAAGGCAGGCGCTGCTCAGAAGTGGGCAGATGATGATGCAGACACTACAAGGGTCTCACTTCCTCGAAGGTCTTTATAGAATATGAATTAATTCGGCCACCTTCTTCTTGAACTTGACCCTGAGACATGGCCTTAACACGTTACAACACAGCAAAGGAGTCGCGGCCACCAGCACACTTGAACCTGAGCCTTGTGTTCTCTCCATGCAAAGGAAATCTCCCCATTATATAGTGTGCATCCACGGGATCCAAGCTGTGCAAGGTTATTTCTAGTGTGCCCCGCCCCCCGCCACGTATGGAGCAGGAACATGAAATGTCCCAGTTAGAGGGTGATCGGGTGACAGATGGTCCCTCTTAGACCAGGCGGCCCATGACAAGTGTGTTCTCTCCACAGGCCCCGGCGCAGTCAGCGAAGTGAACAACGGGACGTCGAGGAGGGCAGGCTGCATCTGGCTGCTACCTCTTCTGGTCTTGCACCTACTCCTCAAGTTTTGATGTGAGTGCCACTTGCCTCACTGGGGAGAAGCTGCCGCCACGGCAACCACCCGCCCCACAGCAACGGCATCTCCCACAGCAACAAGAGCACCCCCGTTTCTTATGAGCTAGAATCAAATGAAATTCCGGGACACAGAGCCTAATGGGACACAAATTCGAGGGAGGGGAACAAAGAATACTTTGGGAAAACACGTTTAAAAGGGAAATTGAAAATCGCCTTGCAGGCCTTGCGGATCCGTAGGCACAGCTGAGTTTTCTTTCTTTGCCCAAACGGAAAGAACGCGCGCCCGGCTTTGGACCCACCCACAGCTGCACTGGGACCTGTTTGTGACCAGGGTGGGCCGGGTGCAGCCACTCCACTCACTAACATGCCCCCAGCGAGGAAAATTCTGGAGTCGGCCATCCCAAATTCAATAGAGACGAACACAGAGCGAGTCGCGCAGGTCCAGTTGTACCACCGTGGCCCCTTTCAGAGACTGTGCCACTGTTGTGTGTGCTACAAAATGCAAAATTAAAGAAAAATAAAGAAAGAAAGAAAACGGAAACTAAACAAGACAGCCTGACAGCTACAACAATCCCACAATCAACAGTCACAAAAGATACTGTTAAACTTTTTCTTTTTTTGGTTTTCGTTTCACTACATGGACATCATGGATAATAAGGGATTCTGGTTCATTATTAATTTTATTAATTATATTTTCTGATATGAGTCTAGAATTTAGTGCAAAAACAAGACAAGACTAAAAAAATACACAAATGAAAGGGGTGAGGAGAAGTATGTTTGTTAAACATTAAAAATAGTGTACTTCTTAACTAGGTTTACAACTGGTGGACCACACACCGGGCATTAACCACCTGGTGAGGCTATGTCAGATCCACCAAAAAACACATACAATTTAACCAACATCTCCACCAGCGCTACAGATTTCTCCGTATCCTGGCATTTAATGCAGACAATTCTATGCTTCTACCTGCTGTTTAGAAATGGAAGGGTGATCCGCACTGTATCTTGAGTTTGTTGGCTATGCTTCTTTTGATGACATATATTATACAGTATATATATACATATATTTTTTTTGTTAGAGTTCTAGCCATTTTATTTCTCAGCAGGGTCCTTTCTCAGACATTACTGCATGCTGTATATGGGGTTAGCTGTGTGTTGATCTTCTAAAAGATGATAGAGTTTACTGGTAATTGTGTAATCAGCTCCTGCCTTTTTATTTCCTTGGGTTATTTACACGTCAGAGACATTTATAAAAAGTGGAAAGAGAAACAGAACAAAACACTAATACCAGGCACAGCATGTTTTCCAGGTGTGGCTCTCGGAGGCGAAGGCCCTGACAGGAGGCCTGGCTTCTCCATCATGCCTCGCGGTGTGGGCAAACAGCAAGCAACCGAACCAACTAAACAGTTAGTAACCACTTGCTTTAGACCATTATGGGAATCTCTGATGCCTTCGTGACTACTGGAGAATTGAATCCTCTCGGTTCATTTTATTTAATTTCCCACCTTTGTGTGTGTGTGTATGAAAGAGAAGAAAATGCAGTTTTTAGATAACCTTTTTTTCCTCCCCCGAAGTCTGGGAATGGGAGAGGCCTCGGGGAGGGGTCCTGGATGTGATGAGGGAAAGTGGGATTGGGGGCTAGGGGAGGGAGGGGTTGTCTCTGACTTGACATTAAAAAGTGTTCCATGTCCCTCTTCACCTGGTGTGGTACCTCATTCTCAAGCGGGGGTTGGGGGTGAGGGGCAAGAGAGCCTGCCTGGCTCAGGTGTGAAGAATATGGAGGCGAATGCGCATCTGACTCAAGCTACTGCTCTTTAGCTCCCTTGTTGGGATGGAGTGGGGTCCTTCTCTGGATGTGCTCTGATGACAGATGGGCCCAGGAAACCACCTTCATCCCCTAACAGAAGCAAAGGAGGGGTGGCTCTCATGAGGACTGCATCTCCAATGCCTTCAAGAAGGTGCTGGCTGAGGTTTGCAGCATCCCGGTTGTGCCCAAACACCCCACTTCGCAACCTGGGCAAAATGTCAAGCCCAGTTAGGGAAAGGCTTTTACGTGTGATTATTTCTGGGAGGCAGCCTAGTGCAGCTATCATGAAAAGAAAAGACAGGAAAAAAAAAAAAAGCTCAAAACACTTTGGGTTAGTATTAAATAATTCCAAATTCTACCAACCAGTGTTTTAGGGACTCTCTTCCCACCATGCCTACCCCCCAAACCTTGCCTTTAGTCACAAGTAAGAGAAAAAATAGATTTTAATACCAAATAGCATTTAAATAATTCTAATCTCTTCTGATTGATTCTGGGAATTAAGTTAGTAGCTGTAGATTCACTGAGAGGCAGAAATGAGGTCATAGCCGAAATTCTCAGGAATTACTGTCTCTGTGTCCTCGGGGCTCAGTTCCAGCCAAGAGGAATGGGCAATGTTTAGGAGGGAGCAGTTTCGGTTCTGGCTGTTACTAGCAAAACTGAGAAAAGATTGTTGACTTCAGGTCTCTCTGTGCCCTTTTGACATTCCACCCTCACCACCAGGTTCCAGCTACCCTAACCTTCTTCCCAGCAGCGTGATCTGGAGCAGTCTGGCCAAACCTCACAGAAATTTGGCCGCTTTGGATTTACCGCTCCCTTATATCCCAGAACTGCTAAGGCATGGGATTTAGGTGTCCTTAGACAGAAAGCGGATGGGTGAGATTTACCAGTTCTCCCTTGCCTGAAACTACTGTAGGCACTGGTGGGAGGATTTGTGAGCAGGTCATAGTGTTCATGGGATTAAAGTGGACACGGGTAACTCCCGTATGCTAAACTTGAGCCCAGACACCTCTGAGTAAAATGTACCAAGACATCTGCAAAGAGGCACTTCCTAGAGTATTTGGGACATGGGAGCATGGGGACACATGGCCTCCATTTGAATCAGAGCTTTCTCTTTCATACTTACTGAGCATGCTTTAGATCACTCCCCTTCACCATCCTCCCAGGAGGCGCTGGTCAGTCACAGCTAAGTCTATAAAGTGGCATTGATGAGAAAGGCTTGTAGAGTTCAATAGCCCTTGTTGTCTTGTGGTTCTTTAGAACGTTGATTATTCAAGAGCACTGCCTTGTAGAAGCAGCTTTGGCGTGGCTGACGGGTTCAGCAGACAGGAGAACCTCCTATCCTGCAGCAAGAGGGAGTTCCTCTCGTCTTCGGCCCTGTGTGCCACATGAGTCCCAATCTGCCAAATTTTAGTCTTTAAAGGGAGCAACCATGTGCTCACAAGAAAGGGCCTTTAACCAGACGTACAGTTCAGTCCAGGAAGACATGGCTTTGATTAGGAGCTTATAGGGACAATTCTCCAGGTCTGTCTCTTTTCAGGAAAAGGAGTTTGGCCAGAGAGTTCTTGTTAATTAAAGAAAAACATCCTGAATAGTGTCTGAAGTTATCTTTCTTGGTACAGGTACAGATGGAAAACTGTTCCTAGGCTGACCTGGATTTCAGGTGTACTGGACTCCTTGAGACTCAAGACTGGCATACTTTAGGATTCATCCAGCACACCCCCCTAACTTTAGGATGTCCTTTGGGGGAGCCATGATTTAAGTCTGGCAGGTTTTATTCCATAACAGTCTCTCCTGTGTTTAGGGGGTGGGGTGGTGGGGGATGTTCTAGCCCTAACCACTCTAAGCAAACTCCTAAAGAACCCCAATCATCTTGTTTAAACAGAATATCTGTTCCTTGCTAGCCACACAGATGGGCAATGGCTCACAAATTTTAGTTAAGTTTTTCCCCATAATTCTTCTACCTAGTGGGTTCAGATGTCTCACCTGAAGCATTATGAGTACTTGTCCAAGGACAGCCTTCTGATGAGTGGAACTTCCAAATCTGGAACTATAATCACAGTTGATGGTCCACAAATATTTGTTTTTGTTGCTGTGGATGGTGATAATGATGGTGATGATGAATGACAGTTATTGTTCTTCAAGCTGGAGATAAGTTAACAAACAAATTAACACTAAAATCGGAGTGAGATTTAGCACATTTCACTAGACTGACTTATCTTTATTGTATATCTCAGTTTAGAAGGGAGGGCAGTCACGCCAATCAATCACAGAAACGTCCCTTTAATGTGTGCATTTGATTTTTTAAAAAATGTAAAATCTGGGATCAGCAAAACATCTACATTGTTTTACACTTACAATGGTACAAATTTGAGGTACTTCTCAGGACAGAACAAAAATCTGTGCAAAGGAGAGATATAGCAGAGTAGATGGTCCCTGCTCGTGATAAGCCTACACACCCTTGTGCTTCTATGGCCAAGTGTATATGCACCATGCCAGCCATTTACTCTTCATCAGATAAGCAACTTAAAAGAACTGAGATTAGTGTATCTGAGAGAGGCACTAAATAATACCTCTTTCCAGCATTAAGAAAAAACAAAACAAACAACAACAACAAAAAAAAACAAAGGTAAACTAAATCTCAGACCTAGTTTGGCTCACAACTTGCTCACTGGGATTTGATTGTAGAGTTAACGTCTCCTTTATCATCCTAAACTGCTCAATCAGGTCATTCTAAAGCATCAATCCTTACCTCTCTCTGCTTTTAATTCAGATGCTATTTCCATGAGTGTCCAACTCTATCTTTCTCCAAGGCAATAAAGGTAAATGAATATCCCCATGATTTGTTAGTAACTGAGATCTCTGAGTCTCTGCATCTTCATTCTAATTTCCCTGTCCCTCACAACTTCATATCTCTCCATCTTATCCACATCATGTGACTAGAACAACATAGCTTTCTGTAGCAGACTGTTCAATTCCTGAGCTCAATATATGATCGCTTCTTATAATTTATGTCTGAAGCGTATTGGTGCATTATTTTTTATGAAGGAGGCTTAGTTTGGCTTTCATTTTCTGAATGTCGATCTTACCGCCATCCAAGCTTCCATGTAACTTAGACATTGCTTCTGACATATTGTTAAGGTACATGAATTTATTTCTATACTTCAGGGATTGTTAACATTATTTGAAAATGAATTGTACCTCTGTCAGAATATCTATTTGATTAAAACTTCCTAGAAATATAAGTTGGCTATGGCCGTAGCATTTACCTGGTTTCCAGTGATTCTGATTTTGGAATTTCTAAGTATCAGTACAGTATTTTGGATACAGAACTGAACTCCTGATGAGTAGAACTAGGAACTAGTCCAGATTCTATTACTAGCTAGTTGGGTTCTCTTTATCTTTTATATAAGGTGTTATGATGGGGGATTACTAATCATTTTCAATCTTCAAAATTCAATCATGTAATTTCAGACTTAATAAGATTTCTGCAAGTAAAACTTTGGAAAGTTGCGTTTTTGATAAACGACAATGGAAGGTGTGAATTGGGGTGAATAATAGAGCCAATGCA